CATGTCTGCACACCTGTTAGCGGAGAGGCAGCCTGATAAAGCAGGTTGCAGGCTTTTCCTTACCACCAGCCTGAGAAAAACAGAAAAACTGTCTATACCATTTAATAGCCAGGAAAAGCAGAAGATAGACTCTCTCCCATTTCTGTACCTTGAGCCCCCCCCCAAGTAAGTTGTTCCAATACATCTTCTTAAATTTATTTTTCAGAGATGATATTACATAAGATACCTTAAGGATAATGCACAAGTGACCAAAAGATGAAAATTTACTTCATTATTGTTAGGTGCAGGACAGGCTGAGTAAGCTGTCTGCAGGGCATGCCAAACAAAGTTAGCTGCAGGATGACCTGGCCACTCAAACCCTCTGTCTGATTCTTTATCACCTGTTTGCTTCAAGCCCAAACCCCAAGCCCCTGCTCAAGGCCGAGCACTTAACCCCCTTGTGTGCCAACAGGCAGCTTGCAGACCCAGAGACCCTGTTAGATTTAGGCAGCACAGCAGAAGGGCTATAAAAGCCTTCCCCAGCTGCCCCTCCCACTTCTTTCCTTCTTTCCTTTCTCTTTGTGCACTGCTGCAATAAAGATCTCTTGGTTGCTCCGAGTGTTGTGGTCATTTTCTTTCAATTATAATACCAAAATCTTTACCTGAGTAAGAGCTGGAGCTCATTTCCATAACATGGGACATAGGAAGGGGCACACTATCAGACTGTACCTGTGTAGGATTGTCCCTGCACTGTGCACATGATGAGCACCTTCCCTTTTCTGAATATTCATTCCCCGCCCAAATAAACTGCAGCTCCCCCTGAGGTGATTTTATGAGGGGTATCCTTATTTGCTGCAAAAAAACTTTATTCTATGACAACTATTCTTGGTGTTCTGTTCTGATTCAGATCCCAGGGAGACAGAACCATTGAGTTCAGTGGCACAGCAGGTGAAGAACTAGCAGAATGTCTTGGGTAACACAGGAGATTAAGGATAGCCTCTTTCAGAAAACCCACTCTGTGAGGTGCCCACAAGACCCTTGTTTCTAGGATTCAACACTTAGTGGAGGGTTCCTGCCACAGACTGGGAGGCCAGCAGGGCCACAAAGTGGTCATATAAAAGTAAGGTAGCAAACAAGTTGAAAAGAACATAAAAATAATGTTAAAGAAGGGTGAAGATCTTATAAAGTCAATATGCATTCAATGCAGGATGTGGTCTACATTGGGAGAAACAGATTTTGGAATAAAGTAAGAAATACACATTCAAGGGAGAAGGTCTGCCATCTTCAGAGGGATAGACAGCCATAACCAAAGTTTTTTTTTTCTTTTTTAACTCTCTTTTTCAAGTCAATTTGTCTGAGTTTACTTTTAATGTGCAGACAGACCTTCCACCTAAGGGAGCCATTTCTTTTGATCAAAATTCTATGTACCATAAAATAAGGGATGGTTTATATGATCCAAAGGCCAACACAATCCTTCAATTGTAGAAACTAGCCCATACTAAACTTTGACTACCTTGTTTTTGTCTAGAAAACCCATTAGAGGCTCTGGCCCTGTCCTTTACCTGCTCTTGTTTTTGCCTTCGGACCACTCTTGTGATTCCCTAGACATGAACCCCATTTGAACCTAAATTACCATACACCCTCTTCTAACAAGTGACTACACATCATTCTGTTGCTGCTTGGCCTTTTTACTAATGGTCTGGGTGCGTTCCATGGTTTATAATCTGGAGTCCCAAATTCCTCAAGTAACTTACTGTTTAAACCAACCATGAGAGCTACATTATTCTGACTATGTATGAAGAACACTGAAACTCCATGTCCCTGATGTCATTTCCCCAGACTAAGGCTTCATTGTTGAAGGTGATGTTGCCCTTTACACTATAAATAACACTACCCTGAACATTAAAACCTCCACCCCAAGGGATTTTCCCGGTCTGCCTTTCTATGCATGAATTGAACACAGTAAATATTTGCTGTCTTTGATGCCAGGGATTCTATTGTGTTTCTGAGCTTACTGTGTGCTTAGCAATACTCTGATTATGCTATTTTCTCTGTGACTGTAGTCCTCCAGAATTGAAAAAAATGACCTCTTGCCTACATGACACACCATGATCACTCCTTCCCCTTGATTAACACAAATACCAGTAATCTTTATATATATGTTCATAAATTATCAGTTTATATATTCTAACCACATATAAGATGGACCTGCCAGCTTGACCCTAGAGATGCACCAAGAAACTATTACATATCTCATTCCATCAATATACTTTCCAACTTTACCAACACATTGATAGAGATTTCAGCAACTTTAGATGCATTTTCTTTTATAATGCCATATTAATATGGACTCTAGTTATAGGATAATCTACAAGGACTCCATATAGTTTTAGTGTTCATCCTTTTTCACTCAACGGAAAGTGTTTATTACAGAAACTGTGACCTATTCTTTAAAGTCCCCATTATCATTTTCCCATTATTTCCAATAAATGAATCCAAACAACCACACAAACAACGATTCAGTGTTTTCTTAAGTTCTGTGCTTCTCTGTTAGGTGCCCATTAATCACAGGAATGAACTAAAGGCTATTCTGCTGTCTCCGGAAAGTTAGCTACTATGGAGCTGCTTTTCATGTGCAGACTGCTGATCCAGGACCATGGCTCCACCCACATCGTTATCTAATTCTCACACAGCAAGCCAATATCACCTTGCTCTAAATCAACCCAGGTTCAAGAACCAGACAACTACAGACAGCTCCAAACCCCAACACCTGTGCAAGTGGTCAAACCAACTGTCATTACTCTATCACTCCTGAAGAATACCCTAAATCGGGTGGCCTGGGAATTCCCTTTTCTCTCCACATCTCGTCTGCCCACCTGGTTATCAGACATGGAGGTGTGTACAAGGTGTGCAGTGTCATGGACTATAGTCAGGCTGTAATGATCGCCTTGCAACATGCCAACAAAATATTGCAGGAACAACAACAACAACAACAAAACAAGTGCTCAGGAGTGAATGGGACTCTGTAAGACATCACTGTTCCCACTGTTAGTAATTGCAGCTATGTAAGGATGGGTATGAATTCTGAAGCTTTCTAGCAATCACATAAACCAACTCAAAAAAGGAAGGAATACCAGTGGAGTTGCAGGATTCCTGATAGAGCTTTAAAAATACTTTTCAAAAATTATGCACCAAATTTAAGTTGGTAAAAGTTTGATTTGTAAATCAAGAGATAGAATCCCTTTTGAAATATCAACACAGTGTTCAGGAAAGTTGAATTTGAAAGAAAAGAAAGATCAACAGAAAAAGCCCAGGCAATATGAGTTTCCCATTAGATTACCTTTCCATACATGGTTTATACTTTATAAATGTGAGATAGAAAGCCATAAACCATATCCTGAGTTTAAATTTGAAATCAAAGAGAAAATGAATGGTAAATTTGACTTACTGTTCCTTTAAAATAAACAGGAAATAATTACAGAAAATGTGTATTTTATTTTAAAAACAAGATATAAATAAAAGAGTGATAATTTTGCAACATACATGAGCTCATAATATTGATATGAAATAAGTATTAGCATTTCACTATACTGTATAATTGCAAATGTTTGCTCATGATCATAGAAACGAGTAAGATGTTAGAATTTCAGACAATAAAATATTGAATACATTTTTAAAGCAGAGAAAAGCATGCTCAATTTTCTGGAGATAGACTTTCAAACGTCAGATTTTATTCTATAAAATTTTGTGCATTGAGAATTTTCACTTTAGTAAAACTAGGCAAGAGACATTTTATAAGCAATTTAGATGCTTAATGTTATCCACTAGCAATTGAAGGTGCGTTTTCATTGAGGGCTAAGTAGTATACTATACATTTGACGTAAACCACAATATCAAAGACTTATAGTGCTATTTTTAGAAATAAATAACACTACTTAAATATCTAATACTTTACATTTTGGTACTAGGGATTGAATGCAGGGGTGCTTTATCACTGAGTTACTTCCCAAGACACTCCACCTTTTTTTTTTCCATTTTGAGACAGGGTTGTGAAGTTCTCCAGGTAGACCTGGAACCCACACTCCTGCCTCAGACTCCAGAGTAGCTGGGATTTCAGGCTGTGCCTCCACACACAGCACAGCAGTACCACGCAGTGAGGACTTCTGATATTTTCAGTCTCTCAACTGAATCCCTTCACTGCCCATCATCTTAAACAGCCACTCAGATTTCCTCAGCTGTCCTAAGTGATTGCCCAGAGACCTCCCTGTCCCTCCTCTCCTGCTGACCTCCCCACCTGTCTGCACTCCAAGCACCTGAGACTCAGCCCACTGCCCTGAGGCTGGAAGTGCCTTCCTCACACTGCTCATGCAGTTCATTCCCCTGCAAAAAACGTGAGCTCAAAAATTATTGGGAAAACGATTTATGATCACTGTTGTTAATAATGTACTTTGCATTTAAAAATTTCTAAAACAACAGGTTTTTAAAGATCCTCACCAGAAATAAGTTTGTGAGATGTAGGACATGTTAACTAGGTGATTTAATCTTTATACAATGTGTAAATAGATCAGAACACCCCACTGAGTCCCATAAATACACATAATAAATATTGGTCAATTAAAATGAATTAATTAAAAAACAGAGAGAAACATGAAAAAAGCCTTCAGTGAGTTTCTAAAAAAAATGAAAATAAAAAACTTTCCTGGACATTAAACTCAGAAATTTCCTCCATTACATTCTTTTAAAATATCCTGAACAAACAAAACATATAAATGAAAAAAATAAATAAAACATCCTGAACATTCTTTACTGAGAAACCTAAGGTTAGAATGATAAATCCTTGTTGAAGTATGTGCACAGTGTTCATGGTCAGTCTAGTGTAGAATGACACTACAGAAGATATGGCCACCGCATTTGCCATAGTACCAGACAGTATTGACATAAGGGCTCTTCAAACATGAGCAGATGATGACATGGACATTCAAGTACATCCAAGACAACAGACCGCTAGCCAGGCAGGTGGATTAGGAGACACCACGTGTCCTTGCTCTGCAGTAAGAGAGGACCTGAGAGACGCGGGTGTCACTGATGATGAGCACAAAGGGGCTGAGTGCTGGGACACATGAGGACACCAGCACAGAGCTGTTCATGACCCACTGGCCTCTCCTGGGGGCAAGAGTCATCCAAATGGTCAAAACAGTGTAGACGGAATAAAAGGCCACGAAGGAGCTCACCAGGATCAGGATGGTGCGTATGGCTCTGGCCTCGTGAGAAGGTGGGGGGTAGAGGACGCGGCTGTGGATGTGCTGAACCTGCTGCCTGTGTCTGTGCAGGACAAGGACCATGGAGCCGCTGGCCCAGGCCATGAGGACCAGACTCAACAAGTCGGGGGAGAAGTACAGGACAGTGTATAAGGTGCTGTGTCTCTCTGGCACTACCCAGAAACAGTACCCATGATTCCCATCCACACTGAGATTTTTCTTATTCAATGGGCCATTCACTATTAAAGGCAGAAACGAATTTATCACGAGATGCAGGGCCCAGCAGAGGAGACAGCAGAAGCCAATAGATCGTAGTGATCTCATCTTGAGCGTGATCCACCTGCAAATTCTGGGGTTTAGCTTTAGGGCCTGGAAGCCATTGAACAGGCACCAAGTGCTGAAGGAGACACCAGTGCTCACTCTATAAAAATAGAAGACAAGTTTACATCTCGTGTCATCCAGGAAACGTTTCCATCCCAGAGCTGCCAGAGTCTGGGGGACTCCTTTAGCCAAAAGAACAATGGAATTGGCCAGTACCACTTGATTGAGAATCAAGTCTGTGGGTCTAAAGTGACGTCCAGTGAGCAAGGTGAAATTATAGAGACCAAGGAGGGAGAAGTTTCCCACGAATCCTACTCCTGTCTGAATGAGGAAAACCATCCCCATATCCATGCTGAGAAGATCACGTCAGCACTCGCAGGGTCGGCTTGTACCTAGGGCAGGGGATGAAGAGATAGACCCATGAGATTAAGTGTGTCGGCATCAATACATCCCCCAATGTAATACTGACCATAAACTAAACCCTCTCAGAAAAATAGACCAAGACTTCATGCCCAGAAACTCAAAGACCCAACGTGAGACCTGTGCTGCACCAAGCTGCAGTGTCCCCCTCCAAGGGGAAAGTGAGCGTGAGGAAGAGCCCTGTGCCCTGACTCAGGTTGTTTCAAAAATACATTTTACAGGGCAATGGCAAGACACAGACAAGTGTAGATGATTTCTTTCTATAAAAATGGATAGAAACGTGAGTATAGGGATGGCAGCTGAGAGGGAGGTGTGGTCAGAGCACATATCCCTGTCCACCTGGGCACTGTGGTACCTGCAGAATTTTCACAATTGACCACTTGAAAGCATCTACAAGATAGGAAAGGGAGTTTGAAACTCACTGGCGTAGTAAAGATGCACAATAGGTCTACAGCTGTGAGGTAGACCACACAGAGGGGACAGAGAGAACAGGGATGTTTCAGAAGACCAAGCCTGAGATGAGCCAGAGGACAGGCTCAGGCTGCAGTGGAGTCTCCAGGTCTGCCTAGCTCACCCTGTGCTCCACACCTTCCTAGGACTGTGGGAGACTGTGAGTCCTCCCCGCCCTGAGAATTTCCATGGTGTGTATCAGCACAGCCCCACTAACCAGAGCCTGTGGACATTGAGGCTGTCCTGAGACACGACTGCAGACATTCACAGCCAGGAGACTAAGGGTCTCCCACAACCCTAGGATGTGTGCAGACACAGGGGATCTAAATAGATGCCCTGAGCCCTCATGAAGGGCGTGTGCTGCCCATCTACAGTATCCCTGACAAGAATAGAAATATCATCTTCTGCTTCATGAACAAATGGGGTGGGTAAGTCAGAGAATAGATTAATAGTGGGTGTAAACAGCAGTTCAGCACATTCACAACCTGCTTACAAGCCGGGGTGCCAAGGGGGATACAGCCAGACTGGAGAAGCTGACACCCACATTTCCTTTTGCTCTCTTTCCCTTCCTCCAGTTTTTCTTCCTCATCAGGGTGAGCCACACGTTTTTGCTGAGTAGCCTTTTTATCCCCAAATGGAAAACACAATCAGGCCTTTTCCCTAAGGGATGTTAATGTGACTCTAACAGAACAGAATTCTAAATGGACTCCTGCAGACTCCCTTGGGCTCCACATGCTGACCTGAGAAATCACGGTGGCCACAGCATGGACCTGGGACCCGGGGACTGAGTGCCAGTCACATAGTGGACAAGATCCCTCAGAGGCTCTGCAGGGTCTCCTCTGTCACCCCTTTAGCATAGAGTCCATTTGTGGGGGACACTGGTGCCACAGAAGGTACACTTAACAAGGAACATATTCCTGCTCAGAGACTCCTGTGGACAAGATGAGAGAACACAGACCTACCCAACAGGCATGGAGGACCTGCTGATGGTGGCCCAGAGCAATAGTAGGAGCTGGCACGGAAAAGATGTGTGGAAAGCAGACTTGAGTGGGTTCCCTAACTTCCAACATGGAGAACCCAGAGTTCTAACCAATGTAAGCCTTAGGATGAAACAGTAATAAAAGCCTAATCGGGTAGATTGCCATGGATTAGTTTTATGACTGATTAGAAGCATCAAGATACACATAAAATTTACAACTGTCCAAAGAAGGAAGGATCCCTGCTTACCTGACTGTGTGTGCTGTCTGCAGTGGTTCTGAGGCAGCATCCTGCAGGTTGGACATGGCAGGTGATAAAGTTTAGGACCTCAGCGCCTTGCTGGGAAGTGTTTGTCCTTTCACCTGCAGGTGCAGTGACAGTGCCAGCATGGGGACTGGAGATCACCTGGGCCTACACCTGGGGGCTGTCATGTCTCTGCAAGCCTGTCCCCATGAGAAGCCCTTCAGGAGAGGGGAAACAAGTAGGACGGGCCTCACCCTGGGACAAGCACTGACCCCTGGGAGCCTGAGCAGAAAACACAGAGACCTGCTAAGTGAGGAGTGGAGCATGCAGCCCAGTGGGTTTCAATCATGTCGATACATGGGCTTCAAGTGTGATTGTCTTAATGCCTGAGAACTCCTAGGATACCCGGACTAACATCAGACAGCATGGAGGTGAGTTTGGAGAAGCAACCACAGTGGTTCAAATAGGTGGGAGTACCTCAAGGTCTTATTCATTTGCTGCTTCAAGAGTATTTATTTCCTAACCCACGTAGGTCAGGCACGTTTATGGGCACTGGGATATATCAGCACAGGTGACATTGCAACAGCTTTGTCCCCACATTTTGTCTGCTTCCCTTACTCACATGCACCCCAGTAATTAAGTTGCACAGTCTCTTGTCAGAAGCCGGTGGTTCCACTGGAGAGAGAAGGGTAGAAACTACATGCTGTGTAGGTGGGCTCGAGGGTGGGTCCCACACTGATCAGGATGCTCACAGGGTGATCCATTGTGATGGTGCTGTCACAGGAGTTGCCTTAGTGAGTTCAGGAGAAGAGGGAAGATTCCATTCCCATTCCCAATCTTGGTCCCTTTTTTTGTCATAACTGAAAAAGTACTTCTTATATTATAGTTAAAGCTTCATCCCAGGGTTTCATAAACTGACTTCCAGACCACTCACATATAATCGAATCAAGCCTTTATTGAAGCACACCGGTGGCGGCTGACCAGAACATAAAGCTGTTCCCCTGATCAGCCCCGAACAACTGCAAGGGCCCTCCTTGTAAGCCTGAAAACCGCAAAAGGGATGTTCCGGGGTCCAGCCAATGCAAGCCAGCCAGGTTACAGAAGCAGGAGACTGCAGTCAAGTGGAGGGAAGCCTAACCAATCCCACTTAGCCCAGTCACACCAGTTACAGAAACAGAGCCTGTTACCCTAGTTACAGAAACAATGCCCCATTAGGTAGTTCCGTGTTCTTTAAGGTTTCTATAGCAAAAGGAAAAGAACATCTTGCTCCAGTCACGACTCTTCTACTTGGCATGGTTGTTTTACAGGATGGAGTCATAAAAAAAATGGAGTCACATTTGTTCCTACTATCACATTCCCCACTGGTTTTAGTAGTTTGATGTCAATCTTGCACATCATTAGGCCTCAATTTTTGTTCAATCCTTCTGTGTCTAAGGGACTATACTGGGCTTGCAAGACCATAAGTCTGACCTCACCTACATTCTTGTGTATATGGTTTAGGAGGGTTTTTAAGAGGGAGGGTCCTACAGTAATCCCAATCAGGGGAAGTACTAGGGGCCCAACTATGGCTGAAATGATGGTAGTCAACCAAGGGGACCATGAGAATAGGTTTTGGAACCAATTGCCTGAAGTTTCTAGTGCTTCATCTCTTTCCTTTAACCTGTTTCTCACAAGTGCCAAACTGTTCTTTATTACCCCAGAATGGTTTTCAGAGAAACAAGTTTCTCCTGGAGCCATACAAAGTCCTCCTTGTTTCAGAAAGAGACCATCTAGACCTCATCTGTTTTGTTAGACTATTTCTGTCAGAGAGTCTAGTGAAACCTCTAGTTTGGAGATTGACCTTTCTAGTTTTTTCTAAATCTATATCTATTTGATGGCTGAGGGACTTCCCAAACCAGCCAGGAGGGGAACTAAAATGGGGGCAGCCAGTCTCTGTTGATAAATCAGTGGGCTCTGGCCTTTTAATAAGTCCAGGTGTTCTTTCCCTTTTATTCCATCAAAATAGTAGGTTACATAGTTCAGAGTTATTGACAGTTTGGAGATATAGGCAAGGAGTTTGAAGTGGGACCCAGGAAGCACAATTTTTGGTGAACGGGGAGTTGTCCCACTTATAAGTTGGGTTGTGGAAGCAAGTGTCTCTTTATGGGAGATCACCCAGTGTAATCTTGGGAGCAGTTTCCCAGATACATCTTCCTGAGCTAGACATATTGGTGAACATCTATGTTGACCTTAATTTTTCCTCTAATATTAGGGACCTCCAACTGCCATAAGGGAAAAGGGTGATGACCGTTCTTGCTACTTCCAGCTGAAAGGGGGCGATGTGCAGTGGGCAAGCAGTTTGGAGTCCTTTTTTAGAAACTGAGTGGGTCAAGGAGTCCATGGTAAAACATCTGGTTCAGGAAGAACAGGATATAAATTCACCTGGGGTGGGCACTTCTATGAGAGAAACAAAAAGACATGAGTGCTGAAGTAAGATTAATACAAAATAGCAGTTGTAGCATCTGGAACCTGTCCATGAATATCATGTAAATGACAGAAATTAATATTTGTTTACCAGGAGGTGGAAGACCTGAGAAAATGTCCCCATAACAAGACCTAACAAAGCCTAATAAGGCACTTTTTTAGGGAATATAAATTTTTAACATTGTAAGAATTATCAGGAATGTAGACACAACATTTATTTAAATTAGTTAATGTCATCTGATTTTTGAAACAAATACCTTTTTGGCATGACCTCTGTGTTCAGTAAAGATCCTTTTGTTACTTAGGGATATATAATTATATTAATAAACATTGATTACATCTACTTGTGTAGGAAGTTAGGAAGATCTGTAGGCTTTAAACTGACTAAAAACTTCTGGCAGTTTTTTATTGATAGTTATCAGGCATTTTTGTCTAGAATTTTTCTTTGTTGCCTCCAGTTTTACTTATTTTTGAGGATGCTCACACTAGTGCACATTTTAAGTTACATTAAAATAACTGTTGTTTCTTTTTAAATGTCCGGGAATGGTTGTGCTTTGGTTTTAACTGTTTTTTGCTAAGTGTTTAAGACCAAACTGGTAAAACTGAACTTATTCCTATCTATTGATAAGAGTCAGTTGAGTTTCCTCGGAGGACATTCTTGGGGAACTTGTGAGCAGCATTTTAGTTCTGTTAGTGTCATCTGCATTAGAATGGGTCAAGGTCTTGCTGACCATATGGCTTCCCATGGAAGCATCAGGCATGTCTCCCCTTTTTAATGACCCTCC